CCCAAAACCGACTCCCGCCAGCAAGGATGTTTCCATGGAAACGGCAGAGTGACTCAGGACTTTGGGACCAGCTGGAAGACACAACTGCGAGCAGCGGACGGGCGGAGAGGCGCCGGGCTGTGGGTGCCAGGAGGAGGGGTGGATGGGCAGAGGGGCTGGGCAGGGCTGCCCAGGGCTGGGCACGCTCACCAGCGCAGAGGGGCACACGGGCAGGACCCACGCGTGGCAAAGCCCCCCCCGGGAGCCCGAAGGCAAAACCCCTCTACCGACACAAGTGTGACTGCAGCACTTGGAAGGCACCGCTGCAGCACACATCCCGAAACGTGCCTCGCTGCAGACAAGCCCTCAAACCCCCCGGGAGGGAGCCCCACGCGTGCACAGTCACCCGCGGAGTTCACCACACGAACTCCAGCAGCTGCTCAGCTCTGCTGCCCTGTCCCCTGCCCGGGGCACAGCAGCTTGTTGGAGGGTCGATGAGGGCGAGGGGAGCTGAACCCAGCACCCCACGGTGCCCCCCTGGCTCCTGCAGCTCCATTCCCCCCCCCACCTCACCACCCAGGCAGGGAAATCCAGTCGCAGGGCTGCAGAACAACCCTCGGGCAGGGACCCAGCGGCACGGCCCCCGCCGCTTCCCAACGTCCTCCCGTTCAGCAAAGAGTTTCTCGTACAACAAGATGTTGTGGCCGCTGAGGCGAGGCAGACAGGCTCCTGACGGGGTTTAACAACGAGCATCCCCCTCGGTCACAGTGGCTTAGTCATGCTAAGTGGCTCCGCGAAGCCAGGCAGATGCTGAGCACGCCCGCGGGCCACCCACCCGGGGCACCCAGGCAGGCTGCACCCCACCGCTTCCCGGGGGGAAGGGGTACCACGGAGAAAAAGCAGCCCCCAGCAGCCTCCCCCCTCCCCTCACCGCAGGCACCAAGTGATTTTGGGTACTGCAAGAGATGTGTGAGCAGAGCCGGTCGCTCTCCCCAAGCTTCTCCTCCCCGCAAGGCCCGCCAGCGTGAGATCTTGATGGGGTGGGAGTGAGTCTTCAGCCTCACCTCTTCTTCAGCTGTACAGCACCAGAGCTCCCCTACGGTCCCAGCTTCAAGGGCCAGCCAGGGACTGACACTTGCCACCTTCCTTGGGTGGGCACTGCACCGCAGGCCAAGTGGAGGTGCTCTGTGCCCCCAGACTCATTTTGCTCTCGAGTGCATCACCTCCCGGGGGGCTTTTCTAACGATAAGACACATGGCCCCAGAGCTCACAGCCACCCCTGGCATGCCCCCGGCTCCCTTCTCTCTGCCCAACCCCTCTGCCTTTCAGAGGGATCCTTTGCCTCCAGATGACTGCC